GTCTAAATGTATTTGGATGAAATGAAAATTTTTGGGGCACCAAAATCTAGTAGATATTAATACATATACTGGATATACATTATGCGAGGTATGCTAGATACCTGAATATAAGATTTTCCAGTGACTTAATATTTAAGCTTTAACATATCTCAGGACTATTTACTAAAGTGGGAATTGGCAGGAATTCAAAATGATTTCAAAATTAATTTAATGAAGTTTACTGTGAGTTCATTTTAAATTGCAGACATTTCACAAATAATCCTGACAAAGTCAATATATATATATATATATTAATCCTCTGGATCTAGGGAGCTAAAATTCTCAAATATTTTGCAGACCGATCCTACTTTTTTTCTTTTTCGAGTTCTATTTTTATAGAAATATTAGAAGTACAAAAGATTGAAAAGTGCATAAATGTAAATGTAAAAATACAACATTTGAATAATACAAATAATAATAATAATAATAATAGAATATATAAAGGTGTCTTGGATTCATTCGTTTTACTGATTGACAATACGTTCGCAGTGAAGCATGAATTTACCAACAACACAGAATATTCCCACACAGGGCGCAAAAGAAATGAGACTTGCCTGACATAACCCTCTCATTGGTTGGCTTACAAGCACTGTGACTGAGCATTCAAAGTATTTGGAATTTTCAATGCACCACATTGCTGTGTTATTATTAATGTAATTACAGTGGTACATGGCTTTAAAGGTAACAATGTAATTTAATGATTACAAAGTTCCTCTGATGTGAGTTGGCAATTTTCAGTTGGTTCTTTCAAAACAAGTTAGCATACTTATTTTTCAGTTCTACTAGTTAGTAAATTAAGTCAAATGTTGCCAAAACAAGCCATTAATTTGTGTCAAAGTCAAATGTCCACTGGCCTGTTTGTGAAATGCTTTGCTTGCAATAAAAAAAAAAAAGTGTTATAAATATAATGTAACTAATTAAATGTCACTTGTTTGTCACAGGTCAGGGCAGACTAGTGCTTTGTGAGTGTTTATTTATGTACAGTTCTATTGTAGCGCTCATTTCCAGAGCTCTTCAATTCATGCAAAAATATTAATTGTAATTATACAAATAAATAATTTGACACACAGATACCGAAGGAGAAGAGAATTCTACCTTCGGGCTTCAACCTCCTATAAACTTCTATGCAAGAAGGCCCATGAGCTTAAAATCTAGAAGGTACGTTATAACTTGCCAATGCACGGTCGAAACGTTGCTTATTTGTCCATGATCATATGCCACTTGGCAGATTCATGCCACTTGAATCAAAGAAGCAGTGATACAGGGTTTTCCTTTTCCTGAATATTGCAGGCTTATTAGTAGAAATCGGGCTTGCTGGCACAACTCCAAATAATAATTATATAATGGACCTCCAACAATGACAATGTTTTTTGGCATAGCTGTTGGCAAAGTTCTGTGTCAAGAATGAGGGAAGGCTATCAAATGCAATTGATCACCTATAAGTGGGGATTGTACCACTGTATGCTATTCATACTAGAGCTGGGTTTAAGCTCTAACAAATGTGAGTAGGACCATAAAGACTTATTTTATTGTTATTACTTTTCTTTTGGATATACTGCACCATTAGTCTTTTCTCTCTGTTTTTATATACGGCACCAAAGGATACCCTGATCTGGCTCTTTTATAGAAGAATTTCCCTGACAGAACTGAGGCTATATCTTCTGGCAAGTTTTATATTGGACATTTTTACTATTCTACTTTGGCCTCTTTTATTATATTTTTCCTAATTTATACTAGTGTTTTCTACTATTTTGGCTACCTCCATTCCCCTTGTTTGTACTATTCTAATTGTTTTTAGGGCTTAGAGGGAGCCCTACTAACTGAGGTGTGCTGCCCATATCTTTCAATATTTTTTGATTTTATAAATGTAGTGCTGATCCGTTTTTCTATTTTTGCTAATTGATCACAATGACCTGGGAACATTAGTCCTTAAAAACATTTCACAGTTTTGATTGAAATATAAATATTAACTGTACACATAGATGCTATTAAAGGAACACTATAGTCACCTAAATTACTTTAGCTAAATATAGCAGTTTTAGTGTATAGCTCATTCCCCTGCAATTTCTCTGTTCAATTCACTGTCATTTAGGAGTTAAATCACTTTGTTTCTGTTTATGCAGCCCTAGCCACACCTCCCCTGGCTATGATTGACAGAGCATGCATGAAAGAAAAACTGGTTTCACTTTCAAACAGATGTAATTTACCTTAAATAATTGTATCTCAATCTCTAAATTGAACTTTAATTACATACAGGAGGCTCTTGCAGGGTCTAGCAAGCTATTAATATAGCAGGGGATAAGAAAATCCTAATTAAACAGAACTTGCAATAATGAAAGCCTAAATAGGGCTCTCTTCACAGGAAGTGTTTATGGAAGGCTGTGCAAGTCACATGCAGGAAGGTGTGACTAGAGTTCATAAACAAAGGGATTTAACTCCTAAATGGCAGGGGATTGATCAGTGAGGCTGCAGGGGCATGTTCTATACACCAAAACTGCTTCATTAAGCTAAAGTTGTTCAGGTGACTATAGTGTCCCTTTAACTCCGCCATTGCCGGTCCTATGCCAGGAGGAAAAAGGAGGAGGGTTGGGCGTGGGACTAGCAACCTCACCTTGGAAAAACCTCAACCACTACAGAAACGCCAAAAAGAGACACAGAGACTAATTTTCTGGAAGGTGGAGGACCTCAAACAATTCGGAGATGCATGACGATAGGTGATGAAAGCCAAAAGGAAACCACCGAGCCAATTACCCTTCTTTCGTCCAGGATAACCCACATCGGGCCATGAAAAATTAGGACCATGTACAAGAGAGGCAAGTTCACGTCACATGGACATGGCTAGCAGCAACCTTGGCATTTCCCAGGCAGAGTTGCAGAGATGGCAGGATGGGTATGAACAGCACCTACTTGAACAGTTTTACGCCGGTGTGGGCGAGTAGGGCAGAGGGAGATGAAGTGCCCTCTTTCTCCACAGTAGAAACAAAGACCACAGCTTCTCCTTCTGTCTCTTTCCTTGGAAGACAACCTGGTGTGGATGACACCGATCTCCATAGGTTCCTCTTTTTCCATTGGAGTGTCAAGGCGTACTTGGGTGACTTTAGGTTTACAAAGAAGGTTACTGAAGGCAGGCTTGCCCTGTAGCAGGATGGGGTCATTGCATTCATATATGTTGTCCTTCTCCCTGGGTATCCGAGATCCACGGGGACCTGGAGCAGGCTTGGGAGTAGCCTTTCTGGAGGTAAGGCACTGAGAGTCCATCGCAGTTATGAATCACTCCCAGCTGTTGAGGATAGAACTCTTAGCCAGCATCATCTGGTGTACCCATGTCTTGATCCATCCAGACAGGTTGATAGCCGCATGGACCATGATAAAGTCACTGGCATATGTCTGAGGCTTTAAGGCAAATAAAATTTCACAATCCACCTTAAAGCACTGGAAGGATGCATGCTACCATCAAATCTCTCTGGCATAACAACAAACTGCTCAGAATATGCAGGTTCTGGGGCTGGGCGTACTGTTCCTTTAAGAAATTGAACTTCTTGCTGTAGCTCGAAACAGTCTGGGCCAGGCTGGACACTTGCTGGGTAAGCAGTTTGCACATCTTTGTGGACTCCATGATGGTCAGTTTATCATGTCAGGGCTTACCTTAGTTGGGAGTCCAGTAGGCATAGATTTGTGCTCACCCTTGCAGATATACACAGTCCAAGGTGATAAGGTTAGAAACCACCAGGACAGCAGATATACACAATCCAAGGTGATAAGGTTAGAAACCACCAGGACAGCACGGGAGCTGTGCATGAAAGGTGTTTCGCAGTACAGACAGGGCCAAATCCAGAAGAGTAGCCAGACATGGTTCCAAAGGTCAGGGCAGGCAGTGAATAGGCAATAACGAAGATCCAGAAGCAGGGGTCACAAGCCAAGTCAGTCTTTAAGCAACAGGAACAGGAAACAAGAAACAATGAAGTGACAATATTCTCAGGGAAGGGCAGTGTTTTACGCCCAGCTGATGAGCAATCTGCCTCAGGTGAAGTTAGAGTGATACACAGCAAACACAGGTGAAGTCCAGACCCCAGTGCTGCAGACAGTACCAGGTAAACAGGACTAGAAACAGAAGTTCCGAAGTGGCTCAGATGCAGGGAAGATGTCTTAGGATACAGAAGAGTTCAGGTTCATATCCGCTGTCTGGGACCTGTAGGTCAACCACACCTGGCCATCTGGATGGCACAGTGCGAATCGTGACAGTCGTAACAAAGAAACATCACCATAACAAGTTGATCACAGCTGAGACCTTGGGCAAGATAGAAGAGAGAAAACAGAAGAAGGTGGCGGTACGCAGAAGCCCACAGAGCAGTGAAGAAGAGCATAAGGAAGGACAAGAAAGACTACATAGATGGACTGGCAGCTGAAGCAGAACAGGCAGCATACAACAGCAACATGAGACAGCTGTACGACACGACTAAGAAACTGTCTGGGAAGTACAGCAAGCCAGAACGACCTGTCAAGGGCAAGGAGGGAAATGTCATCACAAGACTAGCGCAGCAGATGAATAGATGATCTGAACACTTTGAGGAGCTCCTGGACAAATCCACCATACATCAAGAAGGAGGGTTAACTAATCAAGCTTCCAAAGAGACCTCAGCAACTGTAACAACTACAGAGGTATCACACTCCTGTCAGTGCCAGGCAAGGTCTTCAATCAGATACTCCTAGAGCGGATGAAGGACGTCGTCGATCCACATCTACGAGATGAACAAGCAGGCTTCCGGCAGAATCGATCATACATGGATCAGATTGCAACGCTGAGTATCATTGTCCAGCAGTCCGTGCAGTGGAACTCATCGCTGTACATTAACTATGAGAAGGCATTTGATAGTGTGGCTCGAGAGATCCTATAGAAGCTCCTCCAGCATTACGGCATCCCAGCCAAGGTGGTCAACCTGATCAAGAGCTCATACGAGGGAATGACCTGCAGAGTGATCCACCGTGGACAGCTTACCAACAGCTTCCAGGTGAAGACTGGAGTCCGACAAGGATGCTTGTTATCCCAGCTCCTCTTCCTCAACGCCATCGACTGGATCATGAAGACATCCACTAGCGAACGCAGAAATGTAATCCAGTGGACCTTGTGGAGTCAACTGGATGACTTGGACTTTGCCAACGACCTTGCACTTCTTTCCCACAGCCAGCAGCAGATGCAAGAGAAGATCAGTGTGTTGGCAGCTACATCAGCACAGGTTGGACTCATCATCCACAAGGAGAAGACCAAGATCCTTAAGAGCAACGTCAACCCAATCACCCTGAATGGAAGTCCCCTGGAGGAAGAACAGATATTCACCTACCTGGGCAGCATAATCGACCAGCAAGGTGGAGCAGATGCAGATGTCAAGGCAAGGATCGACAAAGCAAGAATCGCCTTCATCCAGCTCAAGAACATCTGGGCTTCCAGAGAGCTAACCTTGACCATCAAGATCCGCATGTTCAACTCCAATGTGAAGTCAGTTTCGCTGTACAGGGCTGAAACCTGGAGGACAACCAAAACCACCAACAGAAGAATCCAGACCTTCATCAACAGCTGTCTCAGAAGGATTCTCCACATTTGCTGGCCAGACACAATTAGTAACACCAACATATGTGAAAGGACCTGCCAACTTTCAGAAGAGGCAGAAATCTGGAAGAGAAGTTGGGGCTGGATAGGGCATATCATATGCAAACCGCCAACCAACATCATCAGGCAGGCTCTCAGGTGGAACACCCAAGGAAAGATGAAGAGAGGCCGTCCAAGAAACACCTGACGACACAACCTCGAGGCAGACATCACAAGGATGGGCTACACCTGGAGTCAACTAGAAAGAATGGCCCAGGGCAAAAGTCTCAGGAGATCTACCTTTGGTGGCCCATACACTGGGAGAAGTGGAGTGCTCAAGTAAGCATAGATGCTATTAAAGGGTGTGTTTTTTGTTTTAGGTTGTATTTTTTTATTTATTTTTTACTACAAATAGTTACCTATTCATTTTATTATAAGGTATAAATCCACCATGATTGAAATATTAAAAGAAGATTATAGCATGGAATAAAGAAAAGTGTTGCTATAAAGAATTCTAATAGGTTAATATATATATATTAACCTATTAGAATTCTTTATAGCAACACTTTTCTTTATTCCATGCTATAATCTTCTTTTAATATTTCTTTTATATATATATATATATATAAAACCAGGAGGCTGCACTCCCCTGAACATGCATACTTATAAGGGTGCTGTTGGGGCCGATTCACACAACATACAAGATCCAGCGCACTCGCTCATTCACTAAACAACAATTTCAAGTCTCACAGAATGTAATAGTTTCTATAAAAACACCTCACCTAGACAAAAAATAATGGGGGTTTAGTTACAGTATATGATTATACATTGTATAAGCCTGCCACAACGTCAATGGTAGAACCTGCCACGAATGAGGTACATTGAAGTTGTAGTAGGCTTATTTAATGTATGATCATATACTGTAACTAAACCTTCATTATTTTTGTCAAGGTGAGATGTTTTAAAATAAAACTTGAAAATACAGGTTAGTGAATGAGCAAGTGGACTGGATCTTGTGTGTTATATACAGACATCCCAAGTCTCCCGGTAGTTCCGGGAGACTCCTGCATGGTGAGTACTGCTTCCTGACACCCGCAAGTCATGCACGATATCTCAGAAATCACACATAATCTGATGTGTGTGTGTGTGTGTGATTTCCATTATATTGTGAATGATTTGTGCCCTCTAACATGCCATATTTGCCACTAATCGGGGGCCCTGTTGGGTACCGGCACCTTAAGAGCCAACTGAGCCCCTGGGATAGCCGACAGGGAGGAAGTGACAGCAGGGAGGAGTTGCCCGCCCAGGAGGACTGGTGGGAGAAGGCAGCAGCATCATGGAGGTACAGGAGAGTCTGGAGTGAGCTGTTGCAGCATGCTCACTGCCATCAGCCTCAGCCAGACCTCCAAGCAAGCCACCCTCCTGGACACAAAGGTAAACTAACAGAAGGGTGGCTGCAAATATATAAAGTATGACCTGAGTGTGTGTATCTGTATGTCAGTATGTTTATCTGAATGTGTGTATCTGCATGTATGTGCTATTGTGTGTATCTGAGTGTGCCAATGTGTGTTTCACTGTGTGTGTATTTGAGTGTATGTGCCAGTGTGTGTATCTGAGTGTATATGTCAGTGTGTGGATCTGGGTGTGTGTCAGTGTGTGTATATGAGTGTGTGTATCTGTCAGTGTTTGTATCTGAGTGTATGTGCAAGTGTGTGTATATGTGTGTGTTTATCTGTGTGTGTTTTAGTGTGTGTATGTGCCAGAGTGTGGATGTCAGTGTGTGTATCTGAATGTGTATCTGTATGTCAGTGTTTGTTTGAGTGTATGTGCCAGTGTGTGTGCTAGTGTGTGTATCTGTTTGTTAGAGTGTGTATCTGTATGTCAGTGTGTGTATCTGAGTGTGTGTACTATTGTGTGCATCTGTATGTCAGTGTGTGTATCTGAGTGTATGTGCCAGTGTGTGTATATGTGTCAGTGTGTATATGCCAGTATGCACATCTGCGGGTGTATATGCCAGTACATGTGTTTGTGTGTGTGTCTGTATGTGTTGTGGGGGGAAGCGTGTAGGTGGGGTGGTGGGGGGTTGCTTGTGAAACCACCTCCCTGAAATGCTTTTGTGCATGTTGGGATGTCTGTATATATACATATATATAAAACACACAAGATCCAGCACACTCAATCATTCTCTAAACTTATAAACTTATAAAGAAAACAGAGCATATCATGGAAATAGGTTAACACAAGTTAAAGGTGAGTTTCAATGTTTTATAAATACCAATGAAGTGGCAATTCCTCTTTAAAATGTTGGAACCCCTGTGTCCATGAAACCTTAAATGGCAATATCCATTATTAAAAGCTCAAGATTATAAAAAAAAGACATGTCAGTCAGAGCAGCTCATTTGGGTATTATTAATCCAGTTTCTTTTATCATCCCACCCTTCTTTTTTGAATGCACTTTCAGGCTTTTCACAGTCATATATGCTGTATAGACTTATAATACATAGAATCAATACACATAACATATTCAAAGTGTACAGACAGCATGATTTACATTCCAGCAGATGGGATCATCTTCATTGAGTCCATATTGTCCATGAATTCTGGTTTATATTATGTCCATTTATTCTGCTCAATTGCCAGTGACTTTCATATCTGACAAATTAGATACAAGAAAGCCTGCAAATATACCATCATATCTAGACCAATGCATTATTTCATCCTCTTTTTTTTTACCGCACCAGGCAGATAAAGAGCTATTTGCGTAAAATTATTGTGGGTCTAGAAAACATACGGCGAAAATTAAATCTAAAAGCCATGCAATCAAAATGGTTCTATCTGCTTACGGAGAGTTTAATGCCAAATTAATCCAAAGATTTAAAAACTTTTATAATTTTAACTGTTCTATTGAGAGTTGTGCGACTTAAATGCAAATCCAAAGTGGGGACCAAAATAAACATAAAACTTTGCTCTCTTTGTTGATCTTTGTGACAAAAAAATACTTTAAAATAAGTACCTTAAAATGATAGATGCTTATTTCTTCAGGTTTATCGAAGAGAAAAAAGGAATGCCTTGCAGGCCTAAGAAACAAAACAGATTGATTAAACAATTTTTAGGTAACTTGCTTACAAATAAGATTTTTATTAAATCCTCCAGTGTGAAATGTATACTTTTGATTTGTTACTATCTATTTTTTTTTTTCATTCAGCCTCTATAATTACTACATTAGAAATTAAATGAACCTCATCTACCATACACTGCAGACTCCCTAAAAGACTTGTGAAAGCCATTTGGAGAAATACATCGGTTATTGTGTCTAATCAAAGTAATTGTTACCTATAATTTAAACTTGATTTGTAATTTGTTTTTCAATTAAAGTCTTACTATTTTTATACATTGTGCCAAGTCTGGAGGGATTTTTAATAGATATTGTTTTACTGAGCAGGCCAATAATGTTATTCCTGTACAGCAGAAAGGGTATCCAAGTCACCATAATTTTTGTATAGGTAATTATGTATATAGCAACAAATGTATTTATTTTATTAATTTAGCTTTATTACCATTCCTTTCCAGGGCAAGAAATCCCCAAAGGACTTGGCTTCAGCATTGCTTTCGAATACATGTGTTTTGGTATTACAAATCTTTAAATGCCATTCCCAATTTAAAATGCCCAATCATAGTTACATAGAGTGACGGAAGTCAACGTCACTGGGGATGGAAGACAGAAACTATATGTAGATACCCAGATTCCTCTCCTGTTTTCGTCACCGTGTGCCCATTCTTGGTGCAGGGTATGTTTAATGTATTGCTTGTCGGTGCCTCTGCCACTCCACCTTTTTCCTGTCCAATTATTTGCCCAGCAGGGCTTGTCCCAGGGACACTGCCAGACCAGTTTAAACTGGCTGCTTTGTCCCTCCTCAATCTCCCATCAGCCCTTGCTATTGTCTGACCCCACCCTTGCACCCTATTATATTAATATGTGTTAAAATATGTGTGCTTTGTCTAGTAAAGTTAGTTGTAGTTTAACCTTCACCAAGTGTCATCTGGTGTTTGGGGAAGTCTGACAATGGAAAGTGTGTCTGGGGCTATCAACACAGTAGCCTGGTTCAGGTTGGAAAAAGCCCTCAGTGATTCCAGTCAAGCCTTGGCGACTGGGTCTGAAGTGCTCCAGGGTCACTGATAGCTACGAGGAAGCACTCTTGGCGGAGGTACTCGGTCAGAGTACTGGAGCTCCGTCACACATAGTAAAAAAAGAGTCAAGTCCATTGAGATGAAGGTTTAAAGACATCTTTTTAATGATGGTAAAGCAATGGACAATTATGCCACAAAAAGGTAAAAACTATTCCGGTCTTGACTCCACGTTTGCAATCAGCTTTCTTCTTGGATCAGCAACCTCTTCACATGCATCTTAATTATATCCTGGAATATTGTTTGTTACCCTAGGTGACCATACTACATTCATGAAATATTATATATCTCAAATGTCATAAAGGTCCACATTTGCAATATTGATGTAATGTGTCTATACATGCATAGCCTCTCCACATGCAGCAATTAGGATGCATCCTAAAGCTACAAGTACTATCCAGACAGGGCCATAAACTTGTGAAAACCACATGCCATCTGTGCTAGGAGATATGTGTACAAAATTACCTGCTACTTTGACAGTGAAAAGGGTTAAAGTTCTAAAGACTTTTAAGCAGTACAGTGATCAGATGTTCTAACAAATCATTTCCGAATGGATGACATATAACGAACAACAAACAAAATGTGCTAATCATAAAACTATAGCCAGGGTATCGCTTGCTTGATGTTGTTCTGCAGTATAATCACATAGGATTTATGCTTTAGTTGAAATGTTCTATAGGAAGTAAAATATCACGCCAGCAATCATGTCACTTCATCTATCAAAACGTGCTGCAAGAAACATTATTGTAGTGATTTGAGATACTTACAATTTTTTTTGCAGTTTTGCTTTTGCTAAAATTATCAACTATTTCATGCATACCAGAAAAACTGTTGCTAGAGGAAAATCGTATTAAAAATAAATATATGGATCAAAATCTTGCAATTGCAGATTCAACAAATTAATTAAACAAATTGAGACACTATTTTAACCATAAAATTATTCATAATTGTTACCTTACAGGTATCTACGTATGGCAGGGATCCCACAAGATTACTGAGCTACGATGCACATCTGAATAATGC